CACATTACATCCAGAGCTGTTCACAATCTGAGCAACAACTTGGTTTACTTAAATATTTAAACTGATCAATAATTTCACATTGTTTGCTAAATGAGGTAGTTTAGCAAACAATGTGAAAAATAATGGGAAAAAAGAGCTACAATAACTGAAACAGAAGAAAATTAAAGTACTAAGAGTTCCGTATAAAATAAAAACCTGATTTCTTTTTGCAATGTTTCTTAGCTGCAGGAAACAAGATTTAATGCACTTTGAGACGCCAGATGCAAAACAAAAATAAGGTTCTTGCTGTTGGTGAGGGAGGTGACGCTCTCAGGACCCAACACAGGAACCTCAGCTTTTCAGGATTAACAGGGAGAGTGTTTAAAAACATTCACTTATTAATGGCTGTAAATCATTCATCAAGGTTAGAGAGGCTGTTTATGTCGTTTATGCAAAAACTGCAATAAATGAACAATATTGGTAATTACCCAAAACATTTTTTAATATCCATAATGGTTGATCCACTAGTATGCATTTCAAATTTACAATATTACAAAAAAGAAAACATAGTACAACATATTATTATTATTTTTTAATTAAGATGCAAAATTACAGTTATTTCCTTACATCCTGAACTGAAAAATTTAATTTAAGTAGATGAATGTTATGCTTGATTAATTTCTGACTTCTCAGAGAAGCCTAGAGCTTCAAAATTGGGTTTTAAAAATGCAAATTCAGCCCATCATTCAGCTAATAAACAGCAACATCGTTTTTTTGCTTCGTGTATATATTACATACATATATATTGAGAGAGAGAGAGGGATTCTCAGTTACAAAAACAGTAGTTGAGGAATGACTGGAATAAATTGACCAGTGTTCTTTATAAGACGTTTTACAAGCAAATGGTAAATGCTTAATGTGTGTAAAGGTTAGACTTATAAATGTGACATTCTACATGGCAGCATAGTGTCACCTAATACTGCTGCATTCATTTCAGAGTAGAGCTTAGCATGATGTACTTCCAGCAATCGACACCTAACCCAGGCGAGCTGCATTCGAGAGGTGGAGGATAAACCGGTTTGATTTGGGTAACAGCATGTTCTTCCCTCCTTATCTTACTCTAAACAAGGATCACAGCATTTTAATCCTTCTAATTATTTTGTTTAATAACGTGTACAGTAATGAGCAGTCTCACTATGGGAACGGGGGACAATAACTGGAGATTCTAAACACTGTTACATTTTTTACTTATTATTGTTGACTTATTATATTTGACTTACATATTAAAGAGCGTCCTTGGAAACGGAAAAAATGCCTTTTGCTCTAATTTTTCCAATTTCTCTAAAGTGAATATGAGCTGGCTCATTTAGCTGTTTAGTCATAGCAACAGGAACTTACAATCACACCAAGGCTGCACCTGAAAGGCTTAATCAAAAATAAGATGATAATGAAAGCACTGCTAACAGCCACAATACCTCGTCCTCTAATGTCAACCTCAGGTGCACAGACAATGTTTCGGTTTAATCAAACTCAGAGTGTTGACTCCTTCGGTCTAGATCCTGAAGATAATACTTCTGAAAATCAGGAGCACCAATTGTACCAAACGCTCTTTCAATCTCTTTCCCAGAAACCTTGAAAACTACTCGTTGGAAAAGAACACGAAGCTCCCGCAATTCAGCAAGTTTTCAGAGACGATCAAAACTGAAAACATAAACGCCGCTTGTGCTCAGCTTCACGTGTTGTTTGACTGTAGACGAGCCAGCGCTCAGTAAAAGTGACAGGAGATGTGAGGTGTTGTGACTCCTCACCTGCCACCAAAACCTCTACTCCGGCAGAATGACAAAACACAAGCCCTCAAATGCCCGCAGGACAACGTAACTACTTTTGAGTCAAACTTTACTTCCTCAGACTTGTCTCTTCCTACTCTGTGAAATCAATGTGATTGCAAACCAACTAAATATTAACATTAACGAAGAACACTTGTAAACATATACTAAAGACCAAAGCAGGAAGCCTGTAAGGCTCCAAACGCTACCAGAGCGAAGGAGGAAGAAGTCAAACGCATCCCCGCATCCTTCCACCCGGGAGATCAGCCTTTGCACCTGTGACCAGGTAAACTTTCCACACAGTCGTTAATGGACACAGCGGCTGTTGTTTACTGAAGACTCCCCGCAGAGGAGACTAGCTGACCCATGTCTGCAACCGGTGAGTGGTACAAATGGCAAACATCTCTTGGAGTCATTATTTATGCAGGAATGCCCTTGGGAGTCTTTGCACTTGTTTACACAGTCATGGCACAGTCCATTCATGACGGCTCCGAGTAAATGAGCCGCTTGCTACCAATTTGTCCTGGACGACGAAGCTTTGGGGCTCTACTACCCACGGTTACTTTGACGCGGGCGTGTGTGTGTGTGTGTGTGTGTGTGTGTGTCGGGGTATGGAAAAGAGGTTAACGCAGCACTGCTGTGCTGTTGGGAACCGACCCGGAACTACGGACACAAAAGTCCCAAGGGTATTAGGAAGCACAGTGTCACATTTGGAAATAAATGAGAGAAGGGTTTTTTTTCAAGAAGAACGCCACGGACTTTCACCTTTGAAATGGGCTGTTTGTTTGCCCGAGGACGGGGACAGTGGTCAAAGTTAGTGAGCACCGCCTTCCACATAAAACCAGAACCAAGGCAGGAGTTTTATGGAGGTTGAAGTCAAAGGCAAAGTAAAGAAAAAGTGAGTGCGGCGCCATGTCGGGGAACCGGTGTAACTTTGCTTACAATAAAAGTGACAAGAGCGGCGTGTGCGTGGCAGAGATAGAGATAGAAATGGTGGTGTTATGTTATTTTTCTTTTAAAAGAAACTGGATTAAAACAGTTGTTTTAGCAGAAAGATGGCTTCCTTTAAGGTGTAGATCAGCGGTCCCCAACCCCCAGGCCTCGGACCGTCTGTGAGTCGTTTGGTTTTCAGCGTTATTTTGTTATCGTTTTTATCGTTTACTCTGCTTTCCTGGGTCTTTTCACGTGTGTTATGAATAAATTTTCTACTAGTACTAGTTTTATTTTGTTGTATTTATCCGCGACACCTTAAAGGCCGGTCCGTGAAAATATTGTCGGACATAAACCGGTCCGTGGCGCAAAAAAGGTTGGAGACCGCTGGTGTAGATACCTTCATATGTAGCTGCACTTAAGTACAACAAATGCACAAACAACACAGTTTTACAGATGTCCAATCAAACACATAAAACCATCAGTATCTGCGTTAAATTGTTATTTAAAACCACGGCTATGGGCTTAAAGTTTAGGCTGTCGTCTAATGATGTATACACACAAAAATAATACTGCGGACTAACAAGCATAAAGTTTTACATGTACTTAAGCAAAGGCTAAATGAACCAGTTTAATGAAGCAAAGTGGAGGCATATTGTACTGATGACCTCATGCATTCTGCAGTAATGAGAAACCAACATAATCATTTTATTCTCAAACTTTTTCCCGTGCTGTCACACGAAACAATTAAACAGAAAACCGTTAAACAAAACGCGAACCTCCTCCGACTCTATTAATAACATAAAGGCATCAAACGCGGCTCGTTGCTGTTTTTTTAAAACGGGCCGGGTCAAAAACCGCTTTAAAAAAGCCCCAACCCCCGAGTGACGATGCGTGCGCGTCTTTACTTTGAGTCTAAATTTGCGTGCATCCGATTCGTGGTTGAAAAAGACACAAAGAACCAAAGGGAACGAATTCAATTAAGCGTAAAGTACTGAAGGCTAAATGACTCCCCGTATAGTTCTCAGGATTTCATCCAGCGAAACAGCAAAAAGGGGAAGAAATGTGTTTAACAGGGAGGCAGCGGCTGAGAGAGAGAGAGGGGAAAGAAGCGATGGGATAATTTAACAAGCTTCCTCCTAAACCACTCCAAAACCTCCAGAGTTTAATTGCTGGGAGGCAACATTATCCCTAGCAACACTGTGTCTGTCTCTTGGCTGGGATTCGGTGGGTACCTGCTGTATCCACTCCCCGCACAATACAGCGCCCACTGAGCCATATAATCCTCTCAGGCCCTCCTCTTCTGGAGAACCACATTCAATCTCTTTGTGACACGGGAAAATCTCCTCTTCTCCATTTTTTGTCAAGGTACGTGCTTCAAATAAGTCCAATCAGTAGGTGCCGTTATGTGTGCACAATGCTACGGGGAGCCGCAGAGGAAGGGAAAACAGAAAGGAAGAGTTAAATAAAAAGACGTTTGATTTGCCGCTGTGAAATTTGGGGCTACTTTCCATTCCTCTGCGGAGCTCCCTGGAGCAGCCATATTTCTGTTTATGTTTAAATGTGAATCAGTCAGATGGGCTGTTGGGTTCCTGCTGAATCATCCCGCTCTCCCCTCAGAAAGCAGGAGGTTACTTTTGAACCAGCTGCCTTGTAGGAGAAAACAAGAAACCGACGCCACTTTCTTCCCGACTCCTCTTTCAAGTTGCCCTTGAAAAGAAAATTACGACACCGGCTTTGATGCGACGCAGACATGCTTCGACATATTCTCCATAAGTGCAGACACAAACTACATTATCATTCCGATGAGTTTGTTCCGATGTCTTTTAAGCGTCTGAGTGTTGCACAAGCCGGCGAGAGAAAAGATGGAAACGGTGGCTCATTACGCGAAATGGCAAAAGAAGAAAAATGGTTCTTCGCTGTCCACTGGCTTGTGACTTAAGTCAATATAGCACTTGGAGACCTGCAAGAGTGTTTTTAATGAAAACATGTGGTACGTAATGAGAAATTATAAAGGTGGCGTTGCGAAGAACATTTCTATGATTTATTAATTTTAACAAATGACGACCTTTACTTTCCAGATTCGGTTCCCCATGAGCAAATGTAACTTTTTCTTTAAGCCACAAACGCTCATTCTTTTTCCTTTATTGTACATTTTCTGATTAATTTCCAGATGATGACCATTTTATGCCTAAATAAAGCTTTGCATCTTCTGTTTGCTACACATGTCAAAATGTTGCATTCGTGTTCAAGAAATCATCCTACCTGTCAAAGAGGGCGGAGCTCGGAGGTGTCGGTAAGAGGAGAAATCACTTGTTGTTGCACAACAGACGTCCACTCGTTATACCAGTCGCTTACTGCAACAAAATAAACAGACACGGTTAGATCTGGTGATCATTGGTAACATCCTTTATATTTGATCCCATAAATGTAACTGAAGCTTGTGTAGGAATAATGCGTGTGCAGACGCTGCACAGTTATTGTCCTTTTACTTTATATGGACCCATAACTAACCAGAGAAAGGTCAGAAAAGCTTAATTGCTCTGGGTGGAGTTAATTGCTTTGCTACCAGTTCTAATAAATAAACTAAAAGAAATTAATAAATAAATCATCGCAGCTTTCCTATTCTGCCTTTGGCTCTCAGCCCCAAGACCAATGTACCCAGTTAACATGAAAATATGAAACGTGTAGCTGACTTTTTCCTCTTAGAACTGTTTAAAGTTGCAGGTTTTTATTTAGAAAATTAATGGTAAATAATGTGGGATTGATATGTTGTTTACCTTCCTCTATCCCACGAACAACAAACAAAAGAGGGAATGACAAAGCGAGGCGTGCTCGTGATAATTTTGCAACATTTCTCTGAGCTCTGAGGACATATCAGGATTCAGATGCACACACACTCGAGAAACAGAATATTTCCACATTTCCCACAAACCTTCCTCACCAAATGATCGGCTGCAAAAAGAAGAAGAAGAAGAGGTTGCTAAGGATGGGATAAAGTATCTGCACTCGGCATCTGCACGGACCGGCTGAACTTTAATGCAGCTGTTCGCATCCTTAAAAAGATCCAACGCTGCTGCAGGAAATAAGACAGTAAGGTGGAAGGTTAGCTTGTAATCCATAACACATAGTTGAGGGTGGCCACGTTGGCATCGATTCCTTGTGAAAATTGTAATGGGCCTTGGCTCGAGCAGCACAACCCAACAAATACAACCGCGAGGCTTCGGCTCATTTGTAGTCAGGCCACGGAGGTCGTTTCTGAAATGTTTGTCAAAACCGTGGTCAGCTGCTCAGCTCCCACTCGCCGCTCTGTTTTTGCAGAATTTGTAGCATGTGACGGCCGCAGCGCTAAGCCAACACGGCGAGCGTTTTAAGGAACGTTAGATGATATAAATTGTCAGTAATGAGGCACGGGGGACGGCATGCGTGACCTGGAGAGGTCGGCCATAACGTGCTGCCTCGCAGCTGAATAAAATGCATCCTGAGCGCAATTTAACAGCCTTAACATGAGCAGGTACATACGGAGAGACAAGCAGAGGTCCGAGAGGGCGCTGCGCTAGTCGCAGAGGTCACGCGCAAAACAACAACGATACACAAACACTGCTGACAAGGGGAAAATGTGACGACTGAGTACTGTAAAATGTATGAAGAAATGGACGGAAGGGTCATTTTACTGAGCGGCGCCATTAACATCGCTGCCCTTGTCTGAAATTAAGCTCGGATCAGTCACTCACACGCGCGCACGCACGCACACACAATCGCACGCGCACAAAGAGCAGCGGTTTTTACATTTCTCCTCTTTTCGCCCTCGCAGAAGGAGAGGTCGACATTTTAACTGCAGCGGCGAGGAGATGGCTTCCTTTCACCTTGACGGGCATATAATGAACATTTTTCATTTTGAGCTTAGCTTCACTTACAGAGTCAGTCAGCTATTTTCTCTTCGAACCCTTTTTCTTTTTTCTCCCTTCCTGACATTTTCCTCTGTGGTTTTGCCAGGATGATCTTCACAGTAAATTTGTGCCCCTTTTAAAGAAATAGGTTACATTTCTGTTGATTTCTTTTCTTTGCGTTTTTTTAACGCCACAGAGCTCATTTCCATAAAGGTCCCCGTACAACACAAACAGGCCTGCTGTAAAGCATGAGACACAAACAATATGCTAATCACACCTTTTTCAATTACAACCTGGATATCTATGAAATCCATATTATTGCTTATTTATTTAGCCTTTTGTAAATAAATAAATGGGATTTTTGAAACAACAACAAAAAATATATATATGTCTGTGCTTATGAAGTACGTACGGTAGTGCACAGAAGCACACAGAGATTAGTTCAGGTGCATGAAAAAAGGCATAAATGAGACACAGTTTGCAGAGACAAATGCACAAAAACACTGTGCTGTGTATAATAAAAACTCAGAGCATAATAATCAGCCGTTTCATTGTAATCATTCTGTTATTTTAGCGCTCATAGTGCAATCTCCACAAGCAGTTCATTACTGCTAAATATAACTTTACGTTGACCGTCCATGTGACCCGTCCTGAACTATGAGACAATATCAGTAGTTGTGTGTGATACTGCATGTTTTGGTATCGATCCGATACCAAGTAAATACGGGCCAATATCGCCGATACCGATGCAGATACCGATGCCGATACCTGTCAATAAATAAGGTGGATGTGCCATTAAATTGCTAAAACTCAATTAATTTTCATGACCTTGAGTGATTTTTGTGATGTTTCCTTTTTTATCATTAAATTGTTAAAACCCAGGACATAATTAGGACAAAGTTTATAATTAAATTAAATAGAAAATTAATATTATCATTTTTTTTTTTTTAGAAAAATCTGAAATAAAAAGTGCACGCAAACCAGTAAACAAGTTAAAACAAACAAATACTGTTGAGAAACTATAATACAAAAATTACAATTAAAATTCTCAACAACAAAAACAATATGTAAACAACTTAACAATCTTCAAAGCCTCTAAGTCATGTGACGGCGCAACATCTAAACAAGGGGAGGGCGGCACTTAAAGTAAAGAAGCGATCTCTCCAGGCTATTATCGATCCGATACCGATGCAGACTTGGTATCGATACAATCGATATTTGGATCGATCCGCCCACCACTAAATATCAGCTTTTTGAAATGCACGCTTGCAGGAACGCACTTTTTAACAGTTTAGGAAGCTGGGCTGGAGGCGATGGCATCGATAGCTAAATCCTAACACTGCTGTAGTGCCATCCAAAAAAACTGAAAAGCCCACTGTCACGTCTGCTGAGGGAGACAGCGTCAGACGACGGAGGCAGAGTGAGCTGAAGGACGAAAAGTGAGCCTGCACAAAGCTATAAACAAAAGCAAATTTAGACTGAGTGAAACAAAAACCTAAACCCAGGTAAACTAAGCATTGCATATCACCTGAAACCTGGAAACGTGTGGAGGTGGGGGCAGAGGACATGCAGACAACCCCACGAGGAACAAAGGAAAACACACACAATGAAAACGGAGGGTAATGAGGGAAAACGTAACAAAAGGGAAACATAGCTGAACCTAATCTGATGCATGAGACAGGGAGGAAGCAAAACACAACACAGGACTGTCAAAATAAAACAGGAAACACATGAACGTAGAAACCAGGATGACTAGACATAACGCAGCACACAGGGGAGGCGTATTAACAACAAAGACTAGAAATCACCCAAAAAACAAGCACAAACAAACTTACAAAGCAGCCACAAAGACAGTAGCTTATATTATAAATGACCCAGCCCACCTTGAGGAAATACAGTTCACTGGTGGGACTGTGGATGCATCCCGACACCATCGAATACTTCCGTTCTGTCACAGAGATACGAGTTATCCTGGGAGCAATTAAATAATAAGTGATAACAGCTTGTGTCCAGCAGCTCTCTGTCATTAGTCTCCTTTTCATTCACATTTTTCCCTCGTCTTCATTCACTGCTCGGCTCTGCTAAGGCGCTAACAACTACTTTTTTTTTTACAATATTAATCCTGCACGCTTAAAAATTACGCTTATAGTGTCTTTAAATGTGAAGCTAAGAGCAGCTTTACAGGGGAAGTGAGGAGCATCTACCTATTGCCATAAACCCGGTGCGTCACGGCACCGGCGCCAAAGGACACCTTGTGCCTGTCTGCGAGATGCCAGCGGCTTTGACAAAACAGCACTATTTTACACCCTGGGAACGAGAGCAGGCTGTATCGCGAAATGTTCTGGTTCAGTGAAAACTCATTGCATGCATCTTATAACCTCAATTAGAGAAAGAAATGAGAAAAGAGCAAACCCCTCCATACCCGAGAGAACATACAAAAATGATTAATTATCCTGGAACTCAAACTGTAAACTCTTATAACGATTTCAGGAACAAAAATGCGAAATGCACCGACGTAACAAAAACAAGTCTGTCCAGAAAAACCCTGACTTGTATTCAAAAGGCAAAGCGAGGGCCGCGCGTACCGCACACGCGTGCACACACACTCCCGTGCCCACATTTGGCCACACGGGGGGGGGGCTGGCAGGGTGCATTCCAAGACAGCTGGTGAAAAGCGGGTGCGCTCTGGCTGCTAGAAGGAGCAGATTCAGGTGACATCTGTGCCTCCTGTTGCAGCGCAATAGTAGAAACACTAAAAGTGAATTACAACATTAATGATAGTACTCTGCAAGCTGTCGTTCCATATTACGCATCCATTATTCCTTGCATGGGTACTCAAAGGCATCGTGAAGGAATAGGACCCGTCCCTCCCGCCCCACCCGCCACCCACCTCGCTGCGAAAAGGAGCAGTTTATGAAAGGATTGTTGGTTTATGGAGTAGCACCTTCTCCTGCTACTCCACATCACCACATGGCATGGTGCTGACTGGATGACTGATTCCCTCTCTCTCCATTTCCATCGCTCACTTCATCTTTCGAGCAAGCACCCTCCCACCTCTGACCCCACACCCCTCCCCACCCCCCTCACGGCACTGTCGCTGCTATTTCAAACAACATTTGTTTGATCTTGCCGCCCTCTACAGTTGAATGAAATCAATCTGGGAGAGATGTCATGTGTGAGCAGAAATGATTGGGCACAAGAATACCATGTATTGGAGAACATGGACCCCGTGCCCTCTTCCTCACAGGCTGGGTGACGCATGGGTGCAGGCGAACACACGGAGTGGCCGGCGCATGCCTGATAGGCATCACACAGACATCTCAGAGCTGTCACCCATCCCCAGACTTTCAATAACTTCAAATCCCCTGAAAACTTGGAGAATAAAGGCAGAGTCGATCACTCATAGCTCCCCTTCTTCTCTTCAGGGAAATAACAGCTGAAGGAGAAAAACAAAGTCAGGATCCCAT